CATGCCTTGCAATCTATGTGTCGGGAACTATGCGGTGTAAACGATGTGTGCAGTGCACGTGGTGTAAACTACAGGGTGCCACCTGCGTGGGGTGAAGCCGTGTGGTGTCGGTGTCAACGATGTGCTGCAGGCTGCGTGGCGCAGCATGTGCCGTTGTAAGCTGTGCAGTTCCGCACCTGTGCAGTGCGCGCTAGGGGGCGCAATCTGTAAATTGCAGACGACGTGGTGTGAGATGCGCAGTGCAGGCTGCGCGGTGTGAGCTTTGTGGTGCCCGCGAGGCGCCCGAGGTCAGGCGCCAGCCGGAAGCCCGACACCCCAGCCGGCGCACGGGAAGCGCCCGCGAGGGGCCCGCCGTCCGGCTCTGGGCGTGAGGAGCGGGCGACCCTTGCCTGAAGTCGGGCGTGTCCCTCTACACGAGGAGAACTCAACGATAGTCGAAACATAGTCTGGGGAATATTTTCTGACTAGGGAGGCTCTGCAGACGCCCGGGTCTGCGCCGCACGACGCTCGTGCCGAAGCGCGGGGGAGGCGCTGTACACCTCACTTCAGAGCTCGGTCCGACACGGGGGCCCTCAGCACTCGTCCTTGGGGGCGTCCGTCCTCTAAGCTACAGAACAGAACGGATGATGGGAACTGCACCACCACCACCACCACCACCACCACCACCACCACCACCACCACCACCACCACCACCACCACCACCACCACCACCACCACCACCACCACCACCAACCACCACCACCACCACCACCACCACCACCACCACCACCACCACCACCACCACCACCACCACCACCACCACCACCACCACCACCACCACCACCCACCACCACCACCACCACCACCACCACCACCACCACCACCACCACCACCACCACCACCACCACCACCACCACCACCACCACCACCACCACCACCCTCTCGCACGCCACCCACGACGCCACCGCCACAACCCGTCCCACCGAACCCTTCACTCCACCTCTCTCACCTTGGTCTCTTGGTCATGACCGTGTCCTCTGCAATCCCCTCCTGCTCTGCTGCCGCCGGCGCCTCCTCTTCCTCCTCCTCCTCCTCCTCCTCGTCCTCGTCGTCGTCGTCGTTCTCCTCCTCCTCCTCCTCCTCCTCCTCCTCCTCGACGCTCGTCTTGCGTTGCCTCGTGCCTCCTTCCGGGGCCGCCTCATCGCCGTCGTCCTGGCCGCCTCCTCGGGGTTTTCTCAGCGCCTCTTTGCTGCCTCCTCACGGTCTCGTCGTTGCTCTCCTGCCGCTGCTCCTCCTCCTCCGCTTCCTCCTCCTCCTCCTCCTCCTCCTCCTCCTCCTCCTCCTCCTCCTTGTCGCCCTCCCTCGCCTCGTCGTCCTCGGTGCCCGCCGCCTGTTCTTGTGCCTCACGCGACGGCCGCCGCAGCCGCCGCCTGCACCGCCGCCGCCGCAGCCGCCGCCAGGCGGGCTGTGGTCCCCCCTGGCCGCGGCTGCTGCGGCCGCTGCAGAATGGCCCGCGCGGTCTCCCGGTGAAGGGAGCTAGAGAGTCGCTGGGCCATCCTGCCCGCCGTGCTGGCGGCCTCCTCCCCGCGCGCGTCGGCCGCGGGCTTGGCCAGCACGGCGAAGGCGCGTCGCGCCTCGCCGCCCCAGCTCCCGCCGTGCGCCTCCACCACCATCGGGATGAAGGTGAGGTCCTCGTCGCGGCAGGCCTGCGCCGTGCCCTGGTGCTGCTGCTTGCACTCCTCGTGCCTGTCGAGGGCGGCGGCCGAGTCGGCAGCGGAGTGCGCGATGAGGTCCGCGCGCAGGCCCGACGTCACCGCGAAGTTCAGGGCGGCCGAGAGCCCGCCGCGCCACCAGGGGACATAAACATCCGCTGGCCGGCGGCCGTCGTTGTCTAGTCTGTCGCCGTCTGGCTCCTCGGCGTTCGGCCCCTCGCCGTGTGCCCGCGGCGGCAACAGGCCGCTCCAGCTGCGCCCCCGCAAGCCGGAGGCCTTGCCGGCGAAAAATGCGCCGTTTGCAACTTGTTGTGGCGGCGCGTGCGGTCGCCGTGGCAGGCGCACGTCAAGGCGTGGTCGCACTACACGGCCATGACTTTCCCGCGCGCCGGGCAGAATGCTTCCTCGTCGATTAGCTGGGCCCGGAGCTGTCGCCTGATCCCGATCCGCATCAGGCTGTGCGGGGCCGCTGTGCCGAGCGCCTCGCTGGGGGGCGCCTGCAGGTGCGTGCTGGCGCTGGGCGCGGCCACCGGGGCGAGGTGGGCGCGCGTCGCGGGCGAGGAGCGGCCCCAGAGGGCGGCGCGCGCAGCGTCGTTGACACCTGGTCCGAGAGAGCGTTCTGGTTGGAGTGTGTCTCGCAGCCGAGGCGCGCGGCCCGGTCTGCCTCCGCCACTCTGGCGTTGTGGGTCTGGAGCCCCGCGGTCACGGCCCCGGCGTCGCCCGCGTCGTCGTCTGTGTAGCCCGCGTGCGTAGACTGGCAGAAGTCGCTGCTCTTGGCGCGCGAGGGGAGGTAGGCCGCCGGCCAGTGC